ATGATGATAATATTAGCGTTAAGAGTACGACAGACGAGTTAGGAAACTAAAGGGGTATGCGGAGACCCCTGAAAATGCTCTCATTTCTGATTTTATTACTTGAATCATGCATTGGAACCGACGCGTGATAAGAAAATATGCCAATCAGGGGCATGCAAAGGGGTGGAAAGTAGAAGATGTAACTCCAATACAACATGCCTACCTAAATCAAATAAATAAGCATGTATAATAAAATAAACTAAGAATTTACAAACCAATCATCCAAGTTCTGCAAATATTTCTGTTTAATTTGAAAAGTCGATTTGGCAGACATAGGTTTTCAGAAGGCGATGAGTTGTAATCAAAGTATACTTAAAAACCCTGTCTAACTGTACAATTTTCATTACCCACGTATTGGCATGATGCAGAGTTGCTGAAATCATGTGTTTGCGACCTCGACTTTCTATATCAATTATCGCCTAGACTGGAATCCGAAAAGTTTATGACCCTTGTCCGATCGAATTTCAGCGTGCGTGATTTAGTATCTGTGAAATGGGAGAAGAAAGGTTGGGAGCCCTCTGGTCCCTCTCAATAAGCTTGCGTTTTATCTTGCCAGAAGCATCAGGTTCCTTTGATTGTATTCTCTCAAGAAGGGATTGCTTGTAGGGCTTCTCATTCTCCATGGAAAACATGCCATTGGGAGCTGCACACAATATAGGAATTTTTGAGCTAAATTTCAGGGAATTTCGGTCTAAGAGTACAGCTAGATTCAATATCAGATTTGCGATAAAATTTTAAGTTTGGCTTTATGTCGGGGTTAGGGCACGGAAATACTTATCTGTACTAGAATTAAATGCAAAGTCACTTCTATCACGTGGGCGCAAGTTCTTATTCCAGTATCCGACCATATCCTTCCATGTATGCATTATATGCATTGAAAATCAGAACTGCCGCGAAGCTAACGAAACGGACTCGATAACATAATTGGAAGGGCTATATATTCATCAAATTTACTGACCCACAAAACCGTCCTAGAAACTCGTAAGTACGGACAGCTGACCGGAGGCAGAGTAGCGCGTCAAAGAAAACCCTTTCATAACCGATCTCGGCTGTTCCCAATGATAGACGACCACAAACCTATAGTAGATTCCCTATCTCCTGAAATGTCAACTGAAATTTTGAAACGTTCTTTTGATTCGAATAGATTACTTAAGTAGAGTTGTAGTCCTGATTATCGTGCAACCAAATCCGAAGATATTTCAGTCATGACAGGACGCTTGCTTTTGAACAAGATTGCTTCTGACCGCCTACAAAAGTTGAAAATTCTCTATCGGAGATTTAAGTTTATGAGATTAAGTCCTGACTATATAAGGACTTTTTTTGTTTGCAGATTTGGTCACGACGAAATAACTTCCTAGTCTACGTAAACGACTGTCTCAATGACTTTAACTGTGAAGTTGTCATGCTTGCGGATGACATTAACATATGGGCTGAAGTTAGCTGCGCTGACGACGCAAAAAGGTTGCAGACGAATATAAACAAATTAAATATCTGTTCGACCACGTGGATGCTTGAATTTAGTATATCCCAGCGCGTGGCTGTACCCATTAGCCCCGCTAGAAAAGTATCTCAGAAACGCAAGCATTTTATAAATGGCACCAAATTGAAAGAGATAGAAACGCACAAGGATCTGGACATGTGGACAACCGAGAACAGACTGTCATCAGAGCACTGTAAAAAAGCAGTCCAGAAGGCAACTAGTACGTTGCTCTGGATCAGACGCGCGTTTAACATAGTTGCCCCCGATCTCTTCAGAAGAACCTTCGGCGTCTTAGTGTGACCACATGTACACTACCAAATGCCAGTTTGGACAGAATTAATGAAGAAGGATGTTGACTTCCCCAAACAGATGCAGTGGAGAGCTACAAAGATGAACGATGGTCCTAAGGACTTAACGCGTCAGAAGGGATTCATAGCTTGACTTATTATCCTTGCCTTACAGGCACAAACAGTGTAGCCTGCTGTGGACATTTCGGATAAGCTGGGGCCATGGTTCCTCCCTGAGACCGGAAGCTATCTTCCAGTTTGCCAGGATAAATCACCAGCACGGTCATTCTTACAAGGTCACAAGCGAACACACTTTATTGGACCTCAGAAAGTTTTCCTTTAGCCAACGAGTGGTACGACCTTGGAACTCGCTACCAAACGAGACGGTTACCGCCGACATCATTGCTGAGTTAAAAAACGACTCCGTGGCATTTTATTTGACAAAAGGTGACACTCACAACATGATTTCCTGGTAAGCGTCCCTTATAAACAGCACCGTGGTTTAATGTAACGTAACTAACTAAACTAAACTACGCTAAACTATACTAAAAGCTTACTCAACTTAAACTAATAAAACCAAATAGTAAACTAAAAACTTAACTAAAATAGATAAACTTAAAACTAAACTAAAAGTAATAAAATCAAATAGTAAACAGATAGCTAAACTCAATTTATAATAAACTACGACGAAATAAGTAGTTAGTTGCACATGGTAAACTACGATGTTGTTTGTAAGGAACCCTTACTGATTTTTCTTAATGCCAACTTTGTAAAATCTTCCTGCCTCTAGTTTTTTCCCTACATGTTTGGACTGTACAGCGACATCACATTCGATGTTGTGTTATGCTTTGATCTCATAGCATTTTAAATGTCCACAACTTTATATTGACCGTGAATATGCAATGGTTACTTTACAGTACTAGGATCATCAAGGGCGTTTCCTGTCTATAACCCTTCAAATATACACACACAAACAATCTATTCACAGCTGAGTTTGACTTTACATTTTATGTGTTTGTAGAACTGTGCGATCTACTTCCCACCTTAGTCCACGTCTAGGTACTATTCGCTAACACTAAAAGTAGAAGGCCAATGTGCTCACTGGCCTACTTGACTCGGCGCATTAGTTCATGTAATTAAAATTTGCGAAGGTCTGCAGATCATATTAAAGTACAGTCAATTATTGGTCAACTTGACCCAGTAAACACATTCGCGCTCCCCACAAGATGTTTGCGCTTTTAGACACATCCAAGAAAGTCTGCTGTCTGAAAGTCATTTCAAACACTAGATGAATTATTATTTGTGACCTCTCAGACCTTGAGAAATGTAAAAGTGTATTCCAGGCGAATGCATTTTCGAGACACTGCTGCACCTGAGAAATTGCATACCAGATTTACACAAAGTACTAGGTCAGAAACAAAATTCAAAACATTCTGTCCTATTAATCTGAGTTTTTAGTGCAACTTAGTGTTTTGATCTCGTAAGTACTAGGACTGCTAGAGCAGGCAGAGGTCTAGCATTGTCTCATCGACTAGGGTTAGGTTGCGAGACAGCTGGGTCCAAGATGCGCAAAGTAACATGCGGTTGGCCACCTTAACCTTACATAAAATGCTCAAAGAATCCTTGTTTTTAATTGTAGGGCTGGACGGCTGACATGTTATCAAAGTCGGACGGTTAAAAATCACCCACAATTAGCACGCTCACATAGAGTAGGACACCGCACTTTTTCCACAGCGGTGGGACCGTTCTCACCTGATTGCAGGGTCTTGCCCAAATTTTGCTTAGAACACTCCAGTTTGTGAGTCATGAGGTATGAACAGACAACGATGAGATCACATGCAAGTTGCCTACGGAGTGGTAATCGTACGCTAAGTTGATATTGTATGCAGTAGGAGAAGTCATCTAGACCTCTATTGGATGAGTAAGCACACCCTATCTTTAGGCAATAGCAGTCACGCATACGTCATTCGCAAAGCGCATGTGGATGGCGTAATTGGAACCTGCACTTAGGCTTACCACCACCCTCCCTCCAATGTGGGCCATTTGCCACGGGTGAACATCCCCAATAACGCTTACCATGGTTTTATCTGCTCCTCCAGTGTTGAGTCCGTGCATCTATCATGTGTTTTGTTTTGTGGATACAAGACAGTTCGATCGTCGACACCGACAATGTCCACCACGTGTTTCAGCAGGCTGAAGGCAAAAGCGGTGAA